AACTACAAGCCCCTAAATTCCAAAATTCTGTACAGCTATTATAATTAAGAAACCCTCATCCTCTGATCCCCTGTTCAATCTTCCATTTGAAAGAGGGATATCAGAAATTTACCTGTACTGCACGCCCAACTTGATCCCGAGAGAGATGTCTATGCCCCCGACGGCTTCAACGATGGCAAAATAAACAGAAGGATCCTCAATCGCATACCGGAACGGCCGGATTCCGGCCTCGCGGACCAGGGCTGTGAGCTGCCGCATGCAGAGCACACGATGGTCTGCTGTGGAGATCTCCACTGGCGTCTGCAACTCCGGCCGCGAGACGAAAAAGTTGAAGATCCGTTCCTGGATCTCTCGATGCCTCCCCTTCATGTATTCCACCAACTCTGCCCGGCTGACAGATAGAAGCGGTCTCCCGCGGCCACCGGTACAAGGCGACGGGACTATCCAGTTCTTGTCGCCGGAACTTTCAGGATCAAGAAATGGCGAAGGTTGAAGGAGATGGAGGGAGAGCTTCTGGATTCGCCGGAGAGCGCGTTGGGTGTCGTGCTCAGAGGCGAGGGACGTCATCTGGGCTTCCTTCGTCATCCCACCACCCTCCATCGGGCGGGTAAACACGGGGATTTATTGGCTAGGCGGTGTTGAATCGATGAATGGCGCGTGGTGTTACGAGATTGGACACAAGCGTGGTGTTCATGAGAAGATTTGGACGGCATTACCGCTTAGATTCAAGTTCTTCTCTTTGGCACGTCTTTCCCATTTTAATATTTCATAACAATAATCTTTAAAAATGCAAGCATCTAATTGTTATAAGGTGTGTTCCATGATCTACACTATCATATAACAATTATTATTTTTAATTAAATATAATTAAGTTATAAAATTTTAAGGGGCTTCTTTTTGGATTTTTAATTTTATTTTATTTTATTTCTGTTCTTATTTAAAATAAAATATAATTGATATGTTATAATATGTTTAATTATTTTTAAAAATAATCCAAATAATTTTCTTAATGTTTTGAATGTTTTTAAATACAAGTTAATTTTTTTAAGAAAATAAAAAATAAAAACATACAAATAAATATTTTTGTTAAATAAATGAAAATAAAAAATTAAAAATAAATAAATATGATCTAACAAACCTTCACATAACAAACCGTCAAATATTAAATCACATAAATAATATCAGGG